GGGAAAGAGGCATGACAACTTCTAATTCATTGCCTCTCTTGTTCCAGTTTTCCCCCTCTGCCTCCATCTTCCTACTGTTCCCAAAACAAGTCTTTCTGTTTAGCATCACAAGCAGAACACAGTATTTACTTTGAGACAAGAGCAAGGTGACAAAATGCTAGCAAACACTGTGTCTAATCTAGTCAGACAACCACCACCGTTTCAGTGGTGGTGATACTGCAATCTGAGCTGAGAAGACATGCTGTGACAGCTGCATCCTTACCCCCAAGCACAGTTAAACTCCTTCTTTGGGTCATCCAAGTTTGCTAGTTTAAGTAAGGCAGACATACACTGCAAAGACATCAGAGCCATAGGAAGTTCACGAATAAGCAGAGGATCAGATCCTGTTATGGAGATCCCCTGGCAGATCGACTGCAAGATTTCTGGATATGAATAAGGCTTTTCTAGAGCCAAGAATGCAAGTGTTATTAGATTCTCTCTTTAATTCTTTCTTTTCTTTGTTGTTTTTGGGAATCCTGGAGATGTAGAAGTCAGTAAGCACAGTGAAAGACAATGTGGTCTTCTATACTTCGGAAAAGATAAGGAGATAATGAGACCAAAATGTAGGGGACACCAAAATTACTATCAGGAAAGAGGGACTTCAATATAAAATGAGAAGAAACAGAGACAAAGCAAGAATGCTCCATTTTAAACTCACCACAGCACATATTAAGAAATGTAGTAAAACAAAACAAAAATTTTAAAGCTATTATAACAACAAAGCAAACCTAACAGCATAAGGATCTACCTACCGAATTAAACCTGAAAGATATAAACTAGGCCTTCAGCACCAGAAGGCAGAACACAGAACATAGATGTATTTTGGTAATGGAATATAGGAATATTCTATAGGTAGAAGGACATCTAGATGACTGCTCCATTGATTTTGATCAATTTGTAGCTATTATTAAACCATCATTCTTTTGCAGGCCCACAAAAACAGAAACTAGATACAGGTAATCTACACATCATTACTTTGTTATTTTAGGTCCACTTTATTTCCTGAGTCCTTTAAAACTAACTAAACATTGACATTACAGGAGCACCCATCTGCAAATGCTGCAGTTAGGAATAGGAGAACAGGAAAGAAAAAAACAACTTACACCCTTAATCTTTTATTTTACTCTTGCAGTCATTTCTAGGCAATTCGTTGACCCTTGTACCATATTGCTTCTGAGCTGTAACACATATAGAGATAGGAGAGTTGCCTCTTATAAAGAGGTGCTGGCTTCAAGACCTTCAAGTACAATCCAGTCACCAGCCATTTTTCATTTCAAAATAGCATCCTATGAATTGCAGAGTGTACCTTCATGGTGAACCTATGAGATGTCGGTGGACTTTGTAGTCAAAGGTTCTGCTTGTAAATCAAAGAATCTTGATTACATTAAGTACAAGATAACACTATACATGAGATCTGGTGAAGTGTAAATTTTTCTGTTCTTATAGATATCTTAAGCAAAATTAAACAGCTCAAATACTTTAGAAGTTACATTACCTGTCAAAGGAATGGAACTGTACAGACTGCTCAGCAGCTCCCTCGCCAAGAACTCCAAGGAAGGTTGGCGGCAGAAGAGCAGAATCCACTGCACTCCCATCACCTGGTGTGCTTACCAAGCTTCTCAAGATGTCCTTTACATTGACATTTTTTGCAACTGGCACAGAAGTTACAGGCTTACTATCCTCGGTTCCTGTCTCACTTCTGCCCTCCTGAGACTTATTTACTTCTAATGAGAGCGTGCACAGTACTTCACTGACTGCATCTGGACCTGCACTGATGTTCAGAGGTCCTGCTTCAGCAACACCATCAGAATTGTTTGCTTGCCCTGAAGTGGGTTCCTCCCCCAGACCAGAATCTCTTCTTTGTACAGATGCTGTACTTTTTGAATCTTCAGTGGAGGCCAAAGCACAGACAGCAGCAGATGGATTTTCCACATCTGTTCATACCAAAACCAGAAAATATATTTTTAGTCTATTATTAACAAAATTGCATTCACCACATTGCTCATAAAGAAGTAACAATAGGTGACAAGTGAAATAATACAGCTGTAAGCATTTCCTCTTCCCTACTTAAAGATTAATATTACCTATAGGTGGTTATAAGAAATCTTAGAACAGAAAACATTTCTTCTGAATTCTGAGAAGCCTGAAAAGTTATAACATCCAAAAACTGCAACAAGAAAATAGCAGATAATGAATCAGCAATCAAAGAATGAAAATCAATTGACTGCCCTAAAGAAGAACAGGAGAAAAATCTTACAGTGGAAGCAAAAAGCTGCCAGTCTATGCTCACGCATACTTAACCTTATACAAAACAGTAATGTTTCTGCAACAAGTGTTCATAAGTACTTAGCTACTTCAGAGAGATTAACCACCTTGACACAGCAAAACTGACTTACAGATTAGGCTCTTCTCAGATCAGAAAAAGATATACACAAACACTGAGGCAAACTGACTACTATAAAGTTTATTTCAGCAGTTACAATGTGCATATTTCTACATCATTTCACATGTACTTCTAAGAATTTTAAGATGCATAAACCACAATCTTTCATGTGGCCAAGCAATTAGCAGTTCACCTGTAGCAGGAGTTTCACTATTTTCATTCTCTGATTCCTTGAAAGACTGGCTATGGTTTGGTGGTCGTCTTTCATTCTGGGGCTCCAGTATATCTCTGTATTTTGAAACCATGAGCACAGAAATAAAATATACAACAGCCAATGCCAAAAACTGAGCCTGTTTACTGTCCTCCTGCAAAAAAAAAAAAAAAAAAAAAAAAAGGACACACACACAGATTTTTCCATTACAATTTCAGCAGCATGTTTATTTTTTCTGTAAAGTACGCCCAGCGCTGCCATAAACAGACCGAGAGTAAGATGATATGTCAACAATGGAAGAACAATATTCTCTAGTCACAGTTTGTCTCACCTATAAAGCTAGGGAGTACAGCAACTGTATTCAAGTGGCACTAATCCTTTCATTTTTCATTTATAAATATGACAACTTTGACTAAGGTTGTGTGTTTTGACTACATACTTCCAATTAGTGCAGGGACTAAGCCCCTTTACTTATTTACAAGTGTCTCCTATGACATCTCCTCAAATGTGCCAAGATATTCACAGCATTTGCTGTGAAGTACAACCAAGAAAGCATGCTCGACAAAACTTAAAAGCATTTATAAACTACTACATATTAATTAAAGAAGTGGAACAAATCTCAGAACTAGTCTTAAGGTTTTATTCCACCATCAGATTGTCCAGATGAATGTAGTGTATTATGTACAATTTAAACAAGAAATGGCAAATATGCATTTGCATTAAAGCTGTACATTTATGAAGAGATTTTAAGACAAGCTTAAAAACAAGTTTTAATACCAACCGTGCCAAGTACCTCTCCAGAGTACTCAGCCACTCCTAGTGAAACAAATAGTCACATCCCAGATCTGACTGGACATTATGATTTAGCCTAAGCCTGTCCTCTTTGGCTCTCAAATGGAAAAAAAGCTTTGTACACATCACGATCACAGGGGAACTGAATATTTGAATCATCACTGGGCAACCAGGAAGAGAAAGGGTGTCTGTGGGGTTTTCTTGAGGACCATGAAGATGATCAGAGGGCTGGAGCACCTCTCCTGTGAAGACTGGAGGAGAGAGTCAGGGTTGCTCAGTCCAAAGAAGAGAAGGCTCTGGGGCAACCTTACAGCAGCTTTCCAGTACCTGAAGGAGGCCTACAGGAAAGCTGGGGAGAGACTTTTTTACAAGGGCTAAAGTAGTGAGAGGATGAGGGGGAATGGTTTTAAACTGGAAGAGGGTAGAGCAAGGTTAGATGTTGGAAGAAACTCTTCACTGTGGGGGTGGTAAGACATGGAAACAGGTTGCCCAGGGAAGCTGTGGATGCCCCATCCTGGAAGCATTAAAGGCCAGGTTGGATGGGGCTCTGAGTAACCATGTCTAGTGGAAGGTGTCCCAGCCCATGCAGGGGGGTTGGAACTAGATGATCTTTAATATCCCTTCCAACCCAAACCATTCTGTGATTTAAAAGGACTCCGGCAGTATTCAGTTTTCCCCTCTGAGCAGTTGAAAGAGAGTAAGTTAAAATATAAAGCTCATTTTATTATGATTGCCATGCCCATTGAAGCCCCACATTCCATGAAAGCTTTAAGAAGCTATACTGGGAGAAGTTCATGAGAAGTTCTCAATTAGGAACTAAGTAACATAGCTGGATACTGTCTCTTATGCTTAAGAAACAACCTGTGATCCCTAACTTTCATAGAATGATTAAGAAACCGTAAGCTAAAACAGCTTAGTATCAGACAAGCACAGTGCAAGACTGACAGTTCCCTGCAATGGTAAGGATAAGAAGGAATTTTCTTGCTAAATGAATTTGTGCAAGACAGCTTCCAACAGTACTTACTAAGGTTGTGATCCAATGAATTATCACTACTGCTTTCTTATTTTTTCTACTATGTTCGCAGAACTCCTTAGAATGAAGTTCACTTACTACTGGAAGTACTACTACTGGTGGTTAGGTGGAACCCATCTGAGTTCCTCCTGTACAGTTTCAAATCACGCCAATCAGAATTCTATGTGCTGAACACAATGTAAAAAACTGCCTACAAATCAAACAAAATATTTCAATGCAAGTATAAGCAGCTCAGATAAAAACTAATTTCCCTTCTGAAGTCTGCTTTTCCTCTACAGCTCAACACAGTAGACATAAAGCAGAGTTAATGGATTGCTTTGTATTTATTTGTGAAACAGGAAAAATGGTGAATTAGACAGGCAAAAAGGAGAGGTTGTGTGTGTATATTGAGGTTTTTTTAAAGAAAAAATTAGTACACAAAATGTGCTTGATTTCGAAGATTTGCAACATTAGGATTATTTTAGTTGCCACCACTATGGAAGATTCACTTCCTGTTACTCTTTTGCACACTGATACTGAAGTAGGGGTTCAGAGATGCATGTTTTAAATCAGCAATTGCTGTAAGGATAAAAACCAAAGATCTTTCACTTTTCTGGATAGAACAAAGCTCACTGTAAATCATTATACTTGCTAAATAGTCCAACTATTGTAAAATAAGTTGTGGTGTCTAAGTTTGTGGCCACCAATGACTTATAGCCATTACAGCTACTGTATTTGCTTACAGAGGTTTTTTTCCTAAGCAATCAATCTCAATTTCCTCAATATCAGCTATAAAGTAGCTGACATAGGGCAAATATATTTTTAGTCAACTCAAGACTAAAAAACATATGCATATTTACTGTACATGCACACAAATTGGTTCCTCTGAGGGGAACTAATGGAATTAGAAATTACCTCTAATTTCTAATTAACTGATACTGATTTTTTTAAAAGTATACATAAATATCTTTACTTATTATACATAAACAGTTTGTCTATGTACAACATGCAAAAAAGTATGTAACTGTATTAAATACAAAACATTTAGTATAGAATAGGTAAAATTCCAGACAGTCAGCTCTTAGGAAGACATAAAAAAACCTGAACAGCAGGTAGCAACTTTCACGTCTCCCTCTTTCCAATCCAAAATACTACAAAACCTGCAGAGTCTTATGAGTTTCTAATTAATGTGAAAAGTATTCAGTTTAGCCAAACTGCATAACCTATAGCAAGTGTTCAGTAAAGAGATATAGGCAGAAATCTAGCTACAAAGAAAACAACGTTATTTGTAACTTACTATATCTCTGAACACCACAGCTCGAAGCCTGTTAATATCCATATCTTGCAAAAGTCTGTCATGGTCTCGTATTGGAGAAATGCCACCAGTCACAATGTCCACTGGACTCTGTTAAAAAAAAAAAACCCAAACCAAAACATAACACCTTCAGATTCTGTTTTTAAAAGCATTCTATCAAGAATCATTAAGTGTGTACAATCACCCACCATACACCATAGAGTCATAACTAGAGCACAAAGATCAGATAAACATTTCATCTTTTAAGGAAAAAAAAATCTGGCAAGTTTTTGGGACGGATTTACTTCATTATAGAAGATTAAATATGGTAACGTTAAACTCACATAATGGAAAATCTACTTCAAGATTTCTGGTGTTTATGCCCTTCAGCTCTATTAAAGTATCAGTGGTGCAGCTTTAAATTTATAAACTTATATGTTTGTACAGACTCTGTGTTCCTGAATGTGATCTTACACTTGCCTTTGCTGCGGATTTTCCTGTTCCTATAAAGCCCGGCACTGTTTTTTGGATCTTCCCAATGTCTCCAGTAGGCTTCATCTGTGCATGCTGCTGACACTCCAAACAATTTCTTACTGCTACCGCACACACTTCAAGGAAAAAGGAAATGTTAAGAATTACTCTGGGAAATAGTATTGTTTATACCCCTTACAGAGATGTACCAGACATTTCTGTTTATCACAAACTAAAAAGTTTAAGCACATCAGTAAAATGGTATTTTGCTTCCATACATTTTAAATAGTCACAAAACAATGCTCAAAATTCTTCAACAATTTATAACTAGTAATGTATACTAAACTATTAAAACATATATGCTATATCTAATGGATACTTCAAAGTGAGTTAAGTTAGCATCCCTCATTGAAATTTCACCATGCATATAATCATGGGGAGGGAAGAGTGAGGACAGCTATATTTCACAGACTAGCAAGGAAGAAAGAGAAGTGATAGATCAGTGAAACGACAGCATTTGCTTCACAATGCTGTTACTCTTGGACTAAATGTTCTGAAGTTACACAATTTTATTGTTTTTATTTAACTTCACATATGGACCTGTTTCAGCTTCTAATATTATTTTCAAAGGAAAAAAGAACTACCCCACCTCTATACCTGTTTCCATCCCATAAATCTTGTTCTACCTGCACAAAGTTTTAATTGCCTAGAAAGGGAGAGGAAGGCTAGTTACTGTTGAGGCTCTGAGCTGCTCTGGCACTCATGCAAATTAAACTTTTCATTACAGAAAGTTTTACAGCATGCAACTAGCATGAAAACTCTCTTCCTCTGTTAACTAACTGAACCCAGTTATGATCTTGTATGTTCTTACTTCCAGAATAGCCAATACTTTTTTAAGTAACAACCAGCTTCTTTCAATCCAATCTGATGCAATACTGTAACGCTGGATATGACTGCTGCCCAATTTGAACCCTACTCTAGAAATTTACATCTCTAGTTTTCACCATACCTCCAACTGTTGACCTCAAGATTAAACCTCTTTTCTACATATTGCAAAGTTTCATGTTTTTGTATGTAGTATAATATTTCTTTTTCTTAAAGCTGCTATATTCTCAGCTAACTAGTAACAGCAAGCACCTATGCTCATTAAATGATTTTATTCACTTACCCAGACGAAGACATTGTCGTAGAATTCCTCCAGATGACATGTTTTTCTCAGACTCAATTTCAGTGAAACCAAGAGAGCTTGCAAAAATTAGCACATCCACAAGGTTGATTAATCTCTGGATAAATGTTAAAGATGCTTCTACTGAAAGCCCTTGAGTTGGCTCAATATTCTCCAATTCATGCTACACAGAAAAATTGAAAGCAACATTTACTTCTTCACAAAGGTGATAGGCCTACAACTTAAATGAAGAAAAAGGTATGCTGGAAGTCCATTTTCAGTTACATCCAAAAGTAACAACTGGTCACATTTTAGAAACAATCATTAGTTTTAGGATTTAATCCCATTCCAGACCACTGTGGGACAATGAAGCATGGTAACTTCTTTTTATGTGTTCGGGCCAAGAGGGCAGGGAAAGCATGGAGGTAGCAAAGGGAGGAAAGAGATGCTTGTGGAAATATCCCACACATTCCTCTTTCACAAAAGGACAGATATACTACTTAATACACTGCATAAAGAAAGACATCCTCCCACAAGAGACACATTTTCAAATAAAAATTAAATTTCTTACAGTAGCGGATGTGGCAGCAGAAAGCAACGGCAATATACCACCACAAGCCATGATCATGTTGTCCATCACTTGTGAGATGAGGTGAATTGTGTTGTGCACAAATATGACATTGTCACTGCTATTCACAAAGTCCATCACAGTTTTTGTGGAATGGCTGTCAAAAAAAAGAGGGACAAAATCAATAGCAAGACTGCCATTGACTTAAACGTAGTCAGGATTTTAGTCAAATACATGTGCAGGCCCTCAACCAATACACATTTATGTCTGTAAAGAGCATTAAAAATAATCTGACAATATTTGGGTATAGGCCACAAAATAAGTAAGCTACTCAATAATGAGTAAAATACCAGACATGCAACAATCAATGTCAAAGACTGATTCTGGTGCAGCTGATTATAACTGAAATGCCAGTCTAGATCATTCCATATAAAGCATAGAAATTTACCTTCTCCACATCTGTATATCTGTTTCTATGGAAAAGAGTAAATCTGTGAGCAAGCGCTGATGCATCAGTGACCACTTAAACTCAGGAATACGGAACACAGCTGACCTAGATTCTCTTCTCTGCTCATCTGATGTAGCAGCTAGCTCTTGTCCTGAAGAATCTTGCTGCCTTGAGGTCTGAAATCACAGTTTACAGACAAAAACAAAAGAACAACCCATATTCTGGTTATTACCTTACACGGCATACACTGAAATGCATTTAATCGACTTGAGATTTTAGATATTCAACAAGTTTAGACTTTGTATATAGTAACAAATAAAGCTAAAACTATTACACAAATACTATTTAGCAGATATACCAAACCTACAAGCTAGTCTACAGTTGCACTTGTCAGTCTCACCATACACAAGCAGCAACACAGCCTTACCACAGGGGGAGAGTATGTTGCTGTAGACAGTGGTTTTCCTCCTTTAAGGAAGAATGGTGCAGAATGAAGAGCATCCATTAGCAGGTATCTCTGCAGAAGATACATGACTATTTAACCATGAACAGCTGAGTTAGAAACTAAAGACTAGAGGGGTGAAGCACTGCAGCATGCAACAGAAGCCCAGTTTTAAATTACACTTCCATGAAAAATGTAAGGCCGGCATGATGGAATGACAATGCTGTAAAACTTTGTTTCATATACACAAAATTTTGTTGTGTGTACCTCCTGAAGAGTAGCTACTGTAGAAAAAAAAAATTCACAAGTTCTATCAGGATACGAAAGAAACAGTGTTGTCTTTTTCTGTTCACTTCTCAATAGTTATGAGTTGAGATTATAAAAGACCAGACTGAAAAGGGAGGTTGAGTTAAGAAGCAGAAGAAATTCTACATAAAACCCTCTCAGAATATGTTTGTTTCAATTCTTCAAACTTAAGAACAGAAGTACCAACACAGAAGTGTCCATCTAGCCACTGACTCTCCATCAGCAGATGTACAAAGAATAAAATCTTAGAGACTTCTAAGTGTACAAACCCGTAAGAATTATGGTTATTCTAATTAAGGGTTGAAAGAATCCTTTAGGTAACTCACAAAATCCATACACATTAAAATTCCCCAAATGTGTAAGAGTACACTTTAAAGCTAAACAGATGAAGGATGGGAAGAACTTACCTCAGGTATGGATCTGGGGGGCACAGGTGCTTCTAGACATGTGTTAGCCTTCAGTTCCAGTCTTTCCGTATCTGATGCAACACTAGAAACATCAAGCTTGGCGATTCTTTTATCAGAGGTTCCAGCAGGTGCTGGCACACGTGCATTTGCATTTTCTTCAGCTGCTTTGGTCTCACTAGAAAGAATCCTTCCTTTCACCAGCTTCTTTTTCCCTTTTGAATCTGATTGAGTCGCTATTTCTTGAACTGCAGAACTCACTGCTTCTGGTAAAGAAGTCAGTTCTTCTTTTTCCCCATCCACACCTTCAATATCTTTGGATTGTAAAAGCACAGATTCAGGCTGCTCCTCTACTGCTTCTTCCTGCTTTGTCACTTCACTTTCATCAGAGATACATTCCTTTTTTGTTTCTACAAACTCTTCTGATGGTAAAGACATACCACTTTCCTCTTTCAAATCAACAAAATCGTCTTCATCTTCCACCTCTACTGTTGATTTTTCCACTCTATCCGGACTCTCAGGAGTTTTTTCTTCCAGAGTAGTTTGCACTGTTAAAGAAGCAGCAGTGACAGCTACTGATTCCTCCACAAGCTCATCAGCTTTGCTCAATGATTCTTCAATTGCTTCAGCTATTCCAGTACTAATTTCTGAAACATTGGGATTTATTTCTCCTGGTTCTGGAGAAAATTCCACACAAGACATTGCTTTTAAGTTCTGTGCAGTTTCCCTCTCCACCCCCTTTAACTCCTCCCTATGATTAGACACTAAATGAGTTTGTTGGTCATCATCTGTTGAGGTGTTTGTCTCTTTTTTTTCAGTGCTGCACTCCACACCACCATCAACACGGGAAGGGGCAGTAGCATCTTCTTTTAACTCCAAACACTCTTGCTTCCCCTTGATTTCAGCTTCGTTGCTAACTCCAGAGATTGTTCTAATTGGTACTGAAGAATGTATTCCACTCCCTTCACCTCCTTTCCCTTGGTACTCCCTATACATTTGAGAAAGACTCTCCTTGTGCATTTCAAAAGTTACCTAAAAGAACAGAGTTGAAAGTAAATTTAAAATTTCATGTTATGAACGGTTTCACAGAAAAGAAGCCAAATTAATTGCTCACATCCTAAAGTTATACTATAAATATATATTGCATACTCTCTTTTTAATAAAAAACAATTTCACATTGGAGATCACTTCAACTGAAAGCAAGTTTTTCTTCAGTGTACCTGTTACTCCTGGCCAAAAGAAAGGGAGGGGTTGGGGGAGGGAAATACCAGAGTAAAAAAAGTCCTAGACTGATCCTGAGGACAGAAAATTGAAGGTTTACTAGAAGTATTCAGAATTTTAAAGATTAATTCTAGTAAAATAAGTGAAAATGCTTAAAGTTTAATCTTTATAGTTAACACTTGTATTATTTCCTAGGCTAATTTCATTCACCTGTAATTAGAGTTATCTATGCTACTTGCATTCATGTAATTGTACAAGAAGCAGATAAAGCAGCAACAGCATAACACCCAAAGCATTACTAAATTTGAGAGAGCTGAAAATCTTTAGTTATAGGCAAACTTTCACATCACTTCAGCACCTTCAGTATGTTCAACAATCTACAAAGATAAACTTTCAAGAAGTTTGTATATTAAAAAAAAATACAATCCCACAAAGCAGAGAGAAGCACGTAACAAAAACAAAATCTTGGGCACCTCCCAAATGATACCTAAAATTCACCAGAGAACTTTTCCTCTGGATGCTATTCACTCAGTTTGAAAGGCACATGAGAACAGCTACACAATGTGATTAATGATAAGGCATTCCTACAGATAAGCTGAGAAAAAAAAAACTATTATTTGTTTCAGGTATATATTTTTAAAATTCTAGATATAAAAAACAAATTTAAGTACTGATAAAACTAATTTGCCTAAATAAATAGCTAGGTATTGAAAGAATATCTCACTAGACTAACTGAAGTTTTTATTACACTGTCATTCAATTTAGTTTATCCCTACCTTTCTATTTAGGATTTAGATTTATCTCTATCACAGAAGTGTTTATTTATCTGTAAGCTTTGCTCTCACAATTTTCCCAACATAGAAGCTGCAACTGACAGAAATATTTTTTTAACCATTTTATCTTAAACATTTTCCATGGACAAAACAGAACTGTACATTTTATTAAATACATGAATATGCATTTTACTACTATTTTACATACTAAGCTCATCCATTTGGATCTCATCCAAAAATTCCATGTACATGGTACACAAAGTGGCAATTAGTCAGTACGAATATTTTCTCTTAAGATCTTAAGATTCTCTTAAATGTATCTTTTAAGATACATTTAAGTCAAAAGCTGATTTGACAGGTTAAGAAGATACTAGAAATTATAGTTAAGAAGTCAGACAGGAGCAAAGAATGAAGATTAGAAGAAATGTTCTTGACAGGTTGTGTTGCCAACATTCACTTTTTAACATACTATTTTCTCCACCAATCAAATATAAATTACAGTACTGTAGGAGTAGTGCACTATTCTAACGCATGACCTGAAACACATTATTTGTTCAAGTTGTTTTAGTTGAAACTTGAGTCTCTAGCAATGGAATATCTTCCTCCTTCTGTGTAGAAAAAGAAGTCTTCCTATACTAATTTTAAAACAAAAAAAGTGAGAATTATTACAAATTACTCAAAGTAATCTGATCTGCCACAATGGATCTATAAAATATTTTATTTTAGGGTATTGCTAAAGAGAGCATGGGGGGGAAATTATTATTTTAGAAATACTTTCTTCCTGAACTGTACCACAGTCCAGATGTCAAAAGCAACTCTAAGTTGACCAGGCTAACAACTTCTTTCTTGAAATTTGAGTTTGTTTTCTAAAACATGATTAGGCAAAGCTGCTACTTTTGGTCAAGTTATTACTTTTCTGAAGAAGAAATCTTGACATCTTGAGCCTATTTCCAGCTAGCTTTCCCTCTTCTCTCTCTCCCTATTGCTTCCTCCGTTTCCAAAACTACTAAAAAGTTTTAATTCAAGTCCTTAAGAGATACTAAACAAATAAAAATATTTTCATTTATTTCAGCAAAACTTACAGTATCTACTTCCCAGAAAGCACACTGACCCACAATACGTATATGCATTACCTACGCAAGCAACTATAGCTGTAACAAATCTGTGATACACAGCTACCTTTACTCATTTCTGTGTTCAGTACCAAAGTTGTTATTGCAACATGTATTTTGAAAAATTAATGGGAAAAATGACACCTTAAATATATTTGCAGGCTTTAGCTACACTACATACTTACTTTTTTAACCCAATTAACCTACATCCAAGTAGGAGACCTCACTTCTATTCTGGTTATGCCCTGCTTCCAGAACTTTTAAACAACTCTCAGGTCCACCTTCAAAATCTCATTTCACTAGTTCACTAGTTCCCCTAAACCAAGGCAAAGCAAGGTAAAGATGAAGAGGAAAATGACACTTTTTTTTTTTCCCACTGCTGGAAGGAAAGTTCAGCTAGATCTAAGACTCCTTAACTTCTATAATCCAAACAATCACAAACCTAAATTTTATCTAAAAAAACTAGCCACCAGTTCAGCAAAGCCCCCCACTATTTATCAATAATATATACTTCTGTTATTTGTTATTTATTCAAGATCTTCCCATGCTACTTTATCTTTTGTCTCAGGAGAGTTTAGTGTTGCATACTTTGTTTTTTCTAATAACTTACTTGACAGCAGACAGGCAGAAAAGGTATTTGTATTAGTTTTGATTGTTAACATGTGAATCTTGAATTACAGAGTTCTGTTTTTCCAGCTAAGACTGTTGGAAGTTACAATCCGTGCAGATTAGCGATGCAACAGACTTTGCAATAAAATTTGTCTTTACTCAGCTATGGCCAACAGTTAAAAATACAATGTACAGTACAGGGATGCAATGTCATTTCACAGTCTCATCTGAAAGAGGGAATACACAATTGTTTGGAAGCCATTTCACAGTCACACTCTGGAAACTTCAAGATTGTTATTGTTAAAAAAAAACCCAAAAAAACTTATCTTTAGGGATGGACAAGGTAAACATACAGGCAAATAAATCCAAGGACAATCTAATGAGAAACTACCCTGATTTAGGAACAATGCAAGAAACTGCAAGGAGAGACACACTGGCTAAAAAAAAATAGTACAGTAGAACACCACTTTAAAAAACAAAACAAAATCCACTTAAAAATAATAGCGATTTCTACTTCCACCATAAACATCAGAAAGAATTAATGTCATACCATTTAAAATACTGTCCTTTAAATAATATTGAAATTCATACAGCAAGCACAAAATCATGCAGACTACCTGGAACATTATTTTTAAAATACGCATTTCAGATTTGGGGTTTTCACATTTATATAAAAAAGAAAATAAATTTAAGAAATACTGTTTCATAAAATTCAACTTTTCAACAATCTGCATAGAAAGATGCACTCACTACATTAACTGGAAACTTGGTTTGAAAGGAAACCAAGAAATAGTGGTACTGTGATAGAGGCACTAGACAGTTCTTACCCTACATTTCAGTTGTGTGACATGGCATTTATGATGCACACAAGTGTACAAAGCCAAACAATACACCATACAAAGAAAACACAGTTAAACAAAAGCAGTATCAACAAAAATGAAAAATTAAACAGAAACTCTGATTACTAAACAGAAGTAGATACAGTATATAAAGGTGTTACAGATTAAACATTAGGACCTGCAAGCAAGCAATAATTTACAAGACAACTGTTAGCTTGAAGAACCTTAAATGTACTTAAGTCAAGTCATTTTTTATTTTCCTTAAGGCATTTGCAACTGTAAAGCTGATAATACAAAATTAATTACTAGAAATTGTTCTAAATTAGTGAGCTAAAAGGCCAATCATTAATCTTCACCACCATTTGATGGTTAATCCATAGCTGCTTGCAATGCATGGAATACATCTCTACGCACTACTAGTTAAAGACACTTGTGAGCTAATAACTGCAACATTTGCCTTTGCCATTAATTTTAACTTAATTTGACATCCAACATTTACTAATTGCCAAGAAGAAAAATTAGCATACAGCAGTGAAAAAGGTTAAGATGATTGACATTTGCATTAAAGAACATAGGGAAAATATTTTAACTAGATGTTCAGATTTTGTCCTTTTTTGCATTAGCAGGTAGGCAATTTTGTAGAGAGAACAAGGGAATGTCTGCCAGTCAGGTCAGACAATTATATAGCACTGCTGTTTCCTCAGAGTCTGCTCAGTGCAAACTAGCTCCTGTACTGCTGACACCATCAATAAACTCTTCATAATTCCAGACAGAGCGACAACTTTTTAAATCTTAATAAGGACTTTATTGACCTGTTTTTCCACTTCTCCTCTAGCAACACAAATGTTCAAAAGTGGTAACTTATGTCCAAACAACTACAGGTCTGTTTAGATGGGAGGCACCAACAGCAGAAGATACCAAACTGATTTTCGGTTCAGTGAAGTAAAAGATACCGTGTGTACCAGTCTAACCCACTGACTTGAGGAATCTGAGGTATTTTCAAGTGGTTCACAGAAGAAAGCTAAGAAAAGTAAATTAATGTATTTATACAGGACACTGCATGAGACATTTTTAGGAGTCTAAGCTTCCACCAAAAAGCATTCACTGACACATGGGGGAAGAGAGAAGAAAACCACTATACCAAGACATTTTTGCATATTTTTCCTCAGCTTTAGAGTAAATATGCATACAAATGATTTTTAGAATAAGAAAGAAAGTACTAGATAATATGATTTGTATAAGTCTTTGCTTATTTGAGAGATAATTTTATGTTGGCAGTGTTTTATTTTCAAATTAAGTCAATGTATAGCTTAACATTACATCACAATACAACAAACTGAAACAGCATCCCAAATGTATATTTGCTCATTTTCAGTAATGAAACTGTTGCTTTTAATTTGTTTAAATTGCAAGACATGAGCACATCCCCCTCTTGAGGTATGTATTTCCTCTCTATCCTGTCACCATTCCTACAGTTC